ACCATATTAAATAAAGTGCAGATATAATAAATCTATACATATAACAGAATTCTAACTGAGTTGAATTTGTACATGAAATATTTTTTGGAAAATCTTATTGAAATAGTCATTATCGATACAGAGGCCGAATATATAGTTTTTTAAAAATTTTGTCTGTTTGTCTGTCTGTGAATGCATCACGAGAAAACCACTCGAGGGATTTTAATGAAAGGTATGATGATAGCTGTTTATCCGGGTCAACATATAGGATACTTTTTACTGCAGGAAAATATCTCATCTCTGATTAATCTAGGTATATCAAACGTTAAAACGTACCTAGAGACAAACATATTAAAATATTTTTCTATTTATTTATCTTTGGCTTAGACCTCTCGAGTAATTTAATATACCCCAGTAGTCGAAAATCGAGTATAATAATTAGTATTGAAAATTTAGAAATATAATAATACTAAACTATTTTGTCTTTACCTATCTATATAAAAAGTAACAGTTTCCAATTTTTTGTATTGATAACACTATAAAAGCTCGGCAGTAGATATTAAACAAATAAGAAAATGAGGAGAAAAAGGTACTGATCTCTTCTGCCTTTGCCTATTTGTATATAAGATAAGAATGACTTACCCTCGCTTTGCTCGGGCTAGTCCTTAGGTTGCTTTCCCATACACACTTTCATCCCCATTTCCACCCTTTTAAGGGATGGTTTCCGGGATAAAAACTATCCTTTGTTCTTTCCTGGGTCACAAACTATCTTCTTAAATTCCATCCAAATCGTTTTAGTAATTCGTGAGATTACTTCCAACAAACAACTCACAAACTTACAAACTTTACCTCTTTATAATATAAGTATTAGATTATGTTTACTCATCTGCCCGTTTTTGCCCATTACATAGTCTCTGTGAAAAATTAAGTGCATATCAAAAGCAAATTAAAGTATTAATATTTTTATTTCGGTACAACCAAGAAAACCAAAAAATAAACCTTTTTGCTCATATCCAAAAATATTAATGAAACATTTGAAATCTTGTGCACAAAAAAGGTTTGCCTCTAATTAGTAGGTCGAGTTGCATCTTATGCTGTTAAGTGATACTTGCCAAAGGTGGGAATTAGAATAAACGAGACGTGCATGTTCAAAGAATTTTCTTTGACACTTTAATATGTTTTTAGAACAAATTTATGTCTAACTAGAAACTAACCCTCAAGTGCATCCCTAGGTACATTACTTATAACATTATATAAAGACAACACCACTTTTTGTCTTCTTATTAAGTATCCTATCTGTGCACTAAATTTCATTCAAATCTGATTAGCAGCGTAAATAAATAAATAAATATGTTGGGACATTAACACACAGCACCATCTAAGTCCATGTAAGCTACGAGACTTGTCTTATGGATACCGGATAGTTGATACACTACACATATATAGCTTTAAATACATACATATTATAAATATAAACACCCATAACTGGAATACAAACATTCTTGATTATCACAGAAATTAATGACTCCAGCGAGGCAGAGAAACCGACACCGCTGGAACAGCAAGTAGCATCACTACAAACTGAGCCAAACGTGTCGTGGAAAGGAATGAAAAAGGAGTAACAAACACATATACAAACGCGCGTACTCGAAGCCATTTATAACAGCAATGTTAAGGTTTCATGAGTGAAGCCATACGCAAAAGCTAGCTTTAATGCCAAAGCTAGCTGTTATCAAACAGCTAACTAGGAGAGCATTAATGAAATCACATCGAGAGATTACCACTTAACCATATTATCAATTAAGTATCAAAAAATATGTAATATCGAATATTAAATTATATGTACTTTCGAAAACTCCAATCAACTTCAAAAGAAGAGCTATGGATACTGGGGTCCTATTCTCATCGAGTTAAAATATCCATTATCGATACTTAATTCTCTAGATAAGACAGTGATAGCTTACAGATAACACTGCCTTTAGTGATAGCTAACCAAGGTGTCGCACCTCAGATATTTTCATGTGTGAATGATTTCCAATAAGATTACTATGAAGGAAAACATCGTAAGAAAACTTGCTTTAAAAAAAAACGAAGGACGTGTGAAGTTCGCCGCGCACTTGGCCAGTGGGGTGGACTATGGCCTGAGCTCCTCGTATTGAAGGGAAACCCGTACCCAGCTGTGGGAATTTAAAAAGTGGGTAAACACAAAAATACTATATTCTCATCCGGTATACGAACCCACGATCCAGTCACCACTTGGCTATCTGGTAACGTCATTTAATAAATAAATACTTTGTAATATTATGATAGGATATGAATGTTTGCTATCACTTGCGTGCATCGGAATGGCGATAGCTCGATTGAATATAATCCGATCTGGCACGAACATTCTACTTGGTTTAATTTATAATGAGGTCACTCTGCATTGGATTGCTGGAAAGTTTTACATATTACATACTAGATTATAGGAAGTTTGAAATACATATTATGTAAGACTTTAGATTATCTTTTTAAAATGCACGAAAAGTATTATTTCATATTTTACTGTTTACGCAACGACGTGTTTCCACAAAAACATTCCTCTTTACTTATCTATCGGTTTGTAAGTGTAATTATTTCTCTATAACTAGTGGTCCGAATTATATGACTCCATTTTTAACCAACTTTCAAATAACAGGAGTTTCTATGTTCGTCTGTATGTTTTTTAACTCCCCACCAAAAGAGGGTTTTTATAAGTTTAACGTGTGTATATATTTATTTCTGTGTCTGTGTATCTGTATGTCTGTCTGTGGCATCATAGCGCCCATACAGATAAATTGATTATATATAAATTATCTGTTTAAATATTTATTGAAAATCGTTCAAATAAATCAGAAAGATAATATTTTCCATACAAATTCTATTACAGGAGAGCCTCATGGGTTGGTTTTCAATTATTTATACAAAATTAGTCCCTACTTGCCTCCAGGCGTATCATTTTTTGTTTAAAAAATTCCCTCTAAATTGGAAATGTAAAATCTACAGCAAACGCGTTCAAAGGGAACCGTTTATATATAGGTCTACTGTGGAGATGTTATAAATGGAGTAAAATACTTTTTTTTGGGGTAAATTTTTATTGGATATGTAATATTAACATAAGCATAATCTATACATATATATATAATAAATTACTAACAAAGCGAAATCTGGTACATGATTTTTTTTAAAACAATGACTGTTACATATTGTGTACAGAATTATTAATTCAATAAGAAATATTTATTGTACAGATTCTACTCAGATTTTAATATATGTATCGATATATTTTACTACATTTAACATCCTCTATGCAATTTTACCATTAACACCTACCAACTCGTTCATCAAATAAAATAACATCGTCCCGGAAATTGGCATTTACACCCTCTGTTCTTTATCTTTTCTTCTTACGGGATTCGAATTTGATCGAAGAAAAAAATGAGATAAGCTTTCCAATCGCCCTCGTTAAAGTGAACGAAGCAATTTGTTTATAGTTTATTTTGATCGTAACAAATTGAAAAGTGATATTAGAATTTAACTTTGATCGTTTTAAACATACTTTTGTCTTCAAAAATAACGTAATAGAAAAAAAATTTTTTTTATAAAAATAAATTACTTTTATAAGTATTTAAGTTTAGGGGATATTTTGAGTTTGCCTATTTATAAAACTACAAAAAATCTTTTATTTTTTGGCCCACATTTGCCCCTAAATTCAGCTCTGAGTGGCATTCAATAAACCAATCATGTACGAATACATCTTGTCATCTAAATAACACATATTTCGTCGTACATATGTTTCATATAAGATAATAACTAAATCTATACATACAATAAAATTCTGTCGAATCTGTATATTAAATATTTTTTTGGAACATCTTATTAAAATAGTTATTATTATCGATACAGAGGCCAAATCTATAGTTTTTAGAAATTTTGTTTCTCTGTCTGTGACCGCACCACAAGAAAACCACTGGACAGGTTGTGATGAAATTTGGTATGATGATAGCTGATTATCTGGGAAAATATCTCATCTCTGAAAAATGTATACTAAACGTTAAAAAGTTTAGCATTTAAACTTTTCCAAATTTTAATTTAACACTAACATGATGAAGACAAGGTCAATGTGCGGTAAAAAATTTCCGCTAGCCATAAACAATATTTACTCAATTGATGTTTCCAAATTTGTAAACTGAAATTTCGATAACAAATTTACAATTTAATCAGTTATATTTTATAGAACGAGCTATTTTAATTCTTTTTTGATTATTTCGGGGATCTGTTTTGATTTTTGGTTCCAGTTGGTACCAGAGCGAAGCGAGGGTGAGTTACTAGTATATGAAATGAAGCTTTAAGCACACAGTGCTAGACGATCTACAAATATATAGAATTTCGTCAAAATACTGAGTGTTTTACGCAATCCTCACAAATCCCACATATTGAGAAATCAAAGAAGCCCTTTGTTAAAAGTTACGTGTTTGTTTAGGTTAGCTTTAAGCTAATATTTAATTTAAACCTTGTAACTCGACTTGTTCTATAAACAACTTCAGGTCGAAAAGAACATTCATGATAAAGTCAGTATTCAAAATTTTACGATGTTACAATTTAGACAGCGTAATCTTGGGTAAAATATGAACCCTTTTATTAATTAACTTATGTTACTGTACATTGTCCTGTCTGAAATTCAATTTTCTTTGATCCCTGAATAGAAGTATAGAAGTCCTATAGAAAAAAGCACTTTCAATTTTTCCCGATTTCTCCGATTTTTTTATTTTTTTCCATAAGAACCTTATTCGGACAATTATGAGAATTAAAAAAAAATGTATAGACAAGAGTGTCATTAAGTATTTGCTTGAAATAATGCAACAGGATATACCTTATTTATCGTACGCTATTCTCAGTAACTTTAGTCGACACGCCGCGACCGCACTCGGTCACGCGGATGTCATTAGCAAAACAACAAGTAATGTATTTATTTCAAGTACACGTAAAATAGATCTATATTATAATAAAGATTTATTCTTACTTCGGTCAAGTGCGTCTGTCTGTACGTGACTTTTGCGACTTATGTGCATCTTTTGGCAAACGATTAGCGCCACTTTTTCACAAATTTCACCTACATAATATCTCTCTCTCTCTCTCTCTTTCGCTCTCTCTCTTACCGTCTCTTTTTCTTCACGCCTACACACACAAACACAAATATTAATACTAGTAAAAATAGAGTCATTACGGCCAAAATAAGTAACGTAAGACTAAACTAAAAAAATATCACTATATACTTATGGCCTTGCCAGTAACTCTCTCTCTCTCTCTCTCTCTCTCTCTCAATGGCTTCAAACAATCTTAGAGTAGAAGAAAAATTAAAGGGAAATGTACATGTTATACTACTTACGATACAATATTTAGCATCTGGCGGACACTGGTTTAGTCGTGCAGCACTTCGGTTATTGCATGGTGTGATTGACCCCACACCATCACTGTACTGCCCGCACTGCCAACATTTGATGGCGGCCGTGACCGCGACGCACGCCAGTAGCACACTGACCGTAACCAGCCGCGTGGAACTCGACATTATCTGCAAAAGATTAAATAATTTTATTTTACAATGAACATAATCTCATGTTTGCTTGTTTGCTTGTTACTTCTTGAGGGTGAAATGGCTAAACGCATTTAGAAGTATACTTTTTTTAATTTATGCCGTTTGTAACTCTGTAACGGTATATATTAACCTAGTAACCTTTGAGTCTAAAATTTTAGTCTCTCTCGTGACCATGATTGCTGTAAAACAATCGAAACGCCGGGAAGCAAAAACCAAATAAATTCGCCAAAAATTCTGTAAAGATTATTTAAATTATTTAGCTTCTAGTTCATCTCAGTTCTGTCGCATACATAAAATTGCAATAAATACGTAACTTAACAAATATATCCAATAATAAAAATGAATATGTTGGGACATTCATACACAGCACCATCCAGTTCCATGGTAAGCTACGAGGCTTGTGTTATGGATACCAGATAGTTGATACACTACACATATATAACTTTAAATACATACATATTATAAATATATAAACACCCATGACTTGAGTACAAACATTCATGCTCATCACACAAATGAATGCTCCAAGCGGGATTCGAACCCGCGACCGCTGGTACAATAACTAGGGTTACTAAGAACTGATCCAAGCGTGTCGTCAAATAATATAAAGCATTATAATTATTCTTCTTCAAAATCAACTATCTAGAATGCCCTTTAACTTAAATAAACATCGACGTTCATACATATTATATCTTAAAAGAAACCCTTTTCAAAGTTTCCCAAAAGCCCATGCTACATGTAGAGTCATAAACTTCACTCAGAAGACAAAAAGAAGCGTGCCATTAAATAAATTTATCTGATCCCATGTGTGTGAATTCTAAATTCATACTTTATTTCCGTTGGAATTCACAATAGGTTTTATTTGCTAGTATATTTTAGTTTCGGATAATCGATTTGAAAGACGAAATAATTTATGTTTTAGAATTAAATGTGAAAGTTTGTATGTTTGTTTGTTTGTTTGTTTGTTTGTTTGTTTGTTTTTTGTTTGTTTGTCCTTCTTTTACGTCGAAACAGAGTAACGGATTGGTGTGAATCATTGTGTGGAGATATTTGGAGGGCTGGAGAGTGACATGGGCTACTTTTTACCGCGGGAGATTATCTAATTCCTACGGGAAAACACGTTATAATACAATCCAAATAAATATTTATGATCAGAATTACTTGAAACTTGGTATTAATGCTCTACAATAAAATTAATTAAATACGTGTTTTAGCATTTTCCGAAATTCATCCTATAAAAGGGGTAAAATATGGGATGAAAGTTTGTATGAAACCTACCTTTTTAGAGATTTTCTTTGTATTTTTAGCGCGAGCGAAGCCGCGGGTTTTTCGTATAGAGGCTTATGTATTTTGATCTTAATATTATGTTATATATAATATGTATGACCCACCTGTAATCCACCAAATCTTAACAGTACAGTCAAAAACGTTAAAATAATATATGAAGGGAGATAAATAAGGGTTTGTTTTTAAGCATTATGTTAATAATTCTGAACAAACAGGAATATATATTTAACGACACATCGAAAACATTCATTCAACGAAGTTGTTTTCGCAGGTATGAGGATGAGTATGAGTAGAATTCCCCAATGCCAATTTGTCAAAGTCGTAGAAACACCAATATTATTTTCTCTTTTCCATATATACGAGTAGAGTAAACTCTTAATACAACAATCCGTACTAATATTATTAATGCGAAAGTAACTCTGTCTGTCTGTCAGTCTATTTGTCACCTTTTCACGCTTAATCCGCTGTACCGATTAAGATGAATTTTGGTATGGAGATAGTTTAAGATCCTGTGAACGACATAGGATAGTTTTATTAAAATTTTAATTATTGTTATTTTGGTGTGAGTATTTGTCATTTAATCACTTTGAGTTACCCTTCGAGTAATCATGATAATAATCTATACTAATATTATAAAGAAGTAAAGTTTGTGAGTTTGTGACGTTGTAGGGGGTAATCTCTGGATCTACTAAAACCATTTAGATGAAATTTGGTATGAAGATAGTTTGAGACTCTAGGAAGGGCATAGAATACTTTTCATCTCGGAAATCACCCCCTACGGGGGTGAAAAAGAGGATGAATGTTAGTATTGGGAAGTAAAATGAGTCGCTAGTCGACTATTAGTAATCGACGTTACATGAGCTTTGTAAACTTTTCAAGATGCTTTACAAGCTTTTATTCAAGTTCTTAATTTAATTTTGAAGATAAGCTACAAAAAACTTTCTACTTTCGCATATTATCTTTAATATCTTTTCTCCTATCCGTTTTTAATTATGGCAAAATTACAGCAAAATTGCATTCCTAATAACATAACAAGCTCCTTATTTCATATGTCACATGATCAACTCAAAAAAGCTATATCAACATATTCTATCCGATAGATTTTGAAAAAGCAAAATGTGACAAACAAACAGACATATAAACACAAAAGTTATAGTATAAGGATATCGCTTTTTTAATTCTGTATAATGAAACCCTATAAGAAATAGCAAAGATACTTTAATCTAAGGGTAGCAATCACTTATACCATACATTTTTAAACGGATAGCTTTTTACAGAGCTTTGAATTTTTAATAGACGCTTTATATCAGGTTCTCGCTTCCAATATCATGATTTTTTAACGAAGTTTACTTTAACTGATACGTGAGAATGGGATTATTTAATTATGTAGTTACCAGTAACGTCATGACGTATCTACGGTAAACAGTAACGAAGTAGACTCTGTAGGACTTGTTTCTATTAAAGCTTTCAGAAAAAGTAATGTTCACTCTAGAATCAATGGTAATTAATTAATTAAGTAATTAATTAATTAATTATTGATCAGGTGGAAAATTAATTGTAACGGTATTAAAGCCCCGGGTTTCATACTTCTGAGATTTCCATATGCAAATAATTTTCGATACGAGTACCACTAATACGGTGAACTAAATCTAAAATTCTAATTAATTTTTACAAAAAAATTATAAAGTCCGTCCATCTGTTTCAAATCAAAAAACATGTGCCCAGTAGTAGAATGTTAAAAGGGGTAAATAATTGATTATTTTTTGCCATAGGTTTGGTTCCATGTTATAGTTATCATTTAGTTTTAAATAAACGTTTTTGTCCAGTTAAAATTAACAAAAAAGAGAACAGAGTGCTGTTGGGCTAAACTTCTTCCTGCAACAAGCTCGAAACTATTTTTATGCTTATTGAATTAAGAAAGCGTAAAATTTTCCTGCAGTTAGGGCTTATTTCTGCTCCAAATATGTGAATTCCCTCGAAATCGAGCACAATCGAGCGAACATATTCAGCTTTTATCCTTGCAATACATTTCAATGCTTCTTTCAGCTTCCGGGTAAGCTAGTTCTGTAATTCGTTTATTCACTAAGTTATGAGATTTTTGGAACTTAATTGTGAAAGCATTTTTACACGAGCATAAAGTTCTATGAAATAAGGCATAGTTTTTTACTTTACAGCTTTAGAATACTTCAAATATTTTACATAAATCAAATAAATATTTTACATAAATCAATAAAACTCGTAAATGCATGCATGAAATAAAAATGACATATTTCTATTTTAAAATCTTAGTACTCTATTGACACATTTTCACTTTTAATATGCATAACTCTTTAACTAATTATTTTTCCCTCCACGACCGTGGACACGCCGGCGTTACACTTAACAATATATTAATTCTTAGTCTAATTAATTTCTTAGAAATTTACTTGGAGGTGTTAAGCGATAATCTGTTATGTCCTGAAAGCGGTATGTATATAAAACAGAAATTGACAGTTTTGCCAAAATTTAAGTTTAATTTTAGATTATTGTTTTTAGTGAAATTATCGAAATATAATATAATAAAGCCTTAATTGTTATGAAAATATGGATTTTACACAAAAAAGGATGTTTACTATTCATTATAGGTATGTTTATCTTTTGTAATGACTTATTTAGGTATTGAAATACTTGAAAATGTTCTAAATTTAAGTCTCAATAACTTTTGATTCCTTCGTTTCCTCAGAATATTTTTTATATATTTGAACTCTTTATCACCTCCTCTATCCAAAAATATTACCCACTCCTCAAGCAGCCGCGTTCCCTATACTAAACTTGTGTCTATAATTTCATATGGATTTAGTAATTAATTTTCCCTCCACGACCGTGGACACGCCGGCGTTACACTTAACAATATATTAATTCTTAGTCTAATTAATTTCTTAGAAATTTACTTGGAGGTGTTAAGCGATAATCTGTTATGTCCTGAAAGCGGTATGTATATAAAACAGAAATTGACAGTTTTGCCAAAATTTAAGTTTAATTTTAGATTATTGTTTTTAGTGAAATTATCGAAATATAATATAATAAAGCCTTAATTGTTATGAAAATATGGATTTTACACAAAAAAGGATGTTTACTATTCATTATAGGTATGTTTATCTTTTGTAATGACTTATTTAGGTATTGAAATACTTGAAAATGTTCTAAATTTAAGTCTCAATAACTTTTGATTCCTTCGTTTCCTCAGAATATTTTTTATATATTTGAACTCTTTATCACCTCCTCTATCCAAAAATATTACCCACTCCTCAAGCAGCCGCGTTCCCTATACTAAACTTGTGTCTATAATTTCATATGGATTTAGTAATTAATTTTCCCTCCACGACCGTGGACACGCCGGCGTTACACTTAACAATATATTAATTCTTAGTCTAATTAATTTCTTAGAAATTTACTTGGAGGTGTTAAGCGATAATCTGTTATGTCCTGAAAGCGGTATGTATATAAAACAGAAATTGACAGTTTTGCCAAAATTTAAGTTTAATTTTAGATTATTGTTTTTAGTGAAATTATCGAAATATAATATAATAAAGCCTTAATTGTTATGAAAATATGGATTTTACACAAAAAAGGATGTTTACTATTCATTATAGGTATGTTTATCTTTTGTAATGACTTATTTAGGTATTGAAATACTTGAAAATGTT